TGATTGGGAGGGCTGGACCTCAGCTGAGTGGCAAAGGGGTTCCTGAGGCCAGTCAAGGTAATTCCACTTCCCCTACCCTTGCTAATTTTTGGTCAAAGAATCCAAGGTTGGGTCAGTGCAAGGCATTCCTCTGTGCAGGGATTGGTCCCAGGGTGGGTTTATAAATCTGTTCAGTGTTTCACAAGGGGAGATATGTGGAGGGCTGCGGGGGAGGAAATGTCCTTGTTCTTAGGGGAGAGCCGTGGAGGAAGGTGGTCTCTCTTCCTTGGGACGTTGTTATACACGGTTGGTGGGGCCCAGAGCTGCTGCAGCCATTCTTGCTTCCATCCTGAGGATGATGTCACTGCCCAGGAAGGCAGAACCCAGAGCATGGCATGGAAACTGAGCCAGAGCCAGTGGATTAGGGAGGTCGGGAAGCCAATCCTTTCTCTTGACCTCCAGTCACGTGATCCAATACCTTGCTTTATTGTTTAAGCCAGTTTGCATTGGGTGTTTGTAATTTGCTGCTGAAAGCCCTGAGGAGAGGTGGAAAGGTAGGAGGTGGAGGGGGTGGGGGCAGTCTTCGGGCATGGGGGCAGTGATTGGTGCATGTGCTTCAATGGTCAGTTCTGCACGTCGAGCAGGAGCAGGGCCAGTCTCACAGGCTGGTGACAGAGGCAATGACACAGGGCCCGGGCTTGGCTTAATGCTCTGCTGTTGCTGTCTTGAAACTCCTAAAAATTTTTAAATGGGGGCCTACATTTTCATCTTATACCAGCCCCACAAATTATACAGCTAGTCCCAGGCAGGTGACATAGTGTATGGAAAAGGAGTTGCAAACTGTAAAGCGCTATGCAAAGCATTATTATTATTTATAAGCCTCTCGTCCCTCCCCCTAGGGACAAGAGAGTCTGTGTAGACCTCCTATGTCTAGTGTCATGGTCTTCTTGCCAGGAAACCTCCATAATCCAACTGTCTGCCACCTGACCCCCCATAATCTGCATAGACCTAGGTCAGCTCAGACCCTCTGGGCTCCCATGGGATTCTGGAGAGCGAGGTGGAGAATCATTGCTGATAGAAGGTTCTTTCCATTTTCAGTTTAGGGAAGCATATGGCCAAAGTTAAAAACTATTTGATTGTTCAATTGCTAAGCAAACGTGCAAAGCACAGATGCACATGCACACACACATGCGCACACACACAAACTACTATGTTTGCTGGGCCTGAATTAAATCTACTGCTCTGTTTGCAATCTTGCTCTGCCCTCTAGAGACCTTTCATTGACCCATGGGCCGAATTGTCCTACCTTTATCCTTCGTGTGTGTGTGTGTGTGTGTGTGTGTGTGTGTGTGTGTGTTCACGTGTCTCAGGTGGAAGGAATAGCTGTCTGGTTCAGGCTGTCCTTTCATCCCGCTAACGTTGTTACTGAGTGAGTGTTACTTAGGAGATAATTAACATGTCCCATTTTAGTGCAAAAATATACCTTGTCCCAGGTCACATGACAAATGTAACCATAAAAAGTTTAAAATGCTATTATTTAAAATTTATTTTCTCATAAAAAATGGTTCCTGAAATGATCATAATTTGAATAACTTACTCTATAGTTATAATACATTATGCCCTGGCTCGGGTCCAGGTTTGGTAATCTTGGAGCTGAGCGAGATCTCAGTCAGAGTTAGGACTCCGCAGCCGCCGTCTCTATCAGCAAGTCCTTCCTGGGAGGCTGGGTTCCACGTCTGTTCCATTTTACACTCTTTCCCACTAGCCTCTAAAACGGCATTTCTCTGTCAAGTTATTGTGGAGGTATAGAGATTTTTAAAAAGTGGACTTTAATTCTCAGAGACAGGAAAATGCATGGTCCGGCGGGAATCCTCAGGAGTGATGTCCTCTATGTGCTTCTTCAGAGATTCTAAATCTTCACTTTGGGGTACCCCTCCCCCAAGCTTGTCTGACCTCAGAGTCATCAGAAGTCCTTGGAAGCAGGAAGTCCGTGGTCATCATCTGGTGATGGGGGTCGGTCCCAGAAACGTTCAGTGTTCCTGGCACAGGGTGAGGGTGGGGGTTGCCACCTGATAGGGCTGCAACTATGCCAACAACAGCAACAAAGCGTGCATGTCCCTGCTGTGTGCCCTGCTAACTGTGCAGCTTACAGGATGCCGGACTCTGTGCTGGGAGCCACACTCAGTGTTTCATTCATCTTTACTACCATCCTGTGGGAAAGTGTATGTCTTTCTGATGACTGCTGTAACAAACTACCATAGAGTTAGTGGCCTAAAACAACACAAATTTATAATCTTACAGTTCTGGAGGAAACAGGTCATATGGGGTTAAAATTAAGGTGTGGGCACACTTATGTTCCTTCCAGAGGCTTTGGGGGACATCTATTTCCTTGCTTTTTCCAGCTCCTAGAAACTACCCTCCATTCTTTGGCTTGTGGCCCCTTCCTCTGTCTTCCAAGCCAGGAACATAGCGTCTTCAAATCTCCCTCTCTCCCTCTGCTTTTGTCATCACTCCTCCTTTTCTGACTCTGATCCTCCTGTCTCCCTCTTATAAAGACTCTTGTGATTACATTGGGTCACCTGGATAATCCAGGATAATCTCTCTAACTCAAGATCTTTAATTTAATCTCATCTGCTAGGACCCTTTTGCCACATAAGGTCGTGTAGTCCCAGGTTCTGGGGATATGTACTGATTTGGGGGCCGTTATTCTGTTCCCCATAGAAAGGTACCATTATTAGTCCCACTTTACAAATAAGGAAACTGAGGCTCAGAAGGACTTGACCAAGGTCACATGGCTGATGTGGAACATCTGGAACTTGAACCCTAGTGAATCAGACTCCCTGGTTTACCATTTGGGTCAGCATGTACCCTTTCTGCGTCGACACACTTCCCCCTAGTGGTTAGCGGATGCCTGCACCCCGCCTCAAACCCACAGGGGGTTCTGGGTTGTGCTTACAATGAGTAAAATTCTCCCATGTGGCAGATACAAAATCACGGTCCATCGGCTCCAAAAATGTTCTCCACCCTCCACGCCTGGCTACACCTGAGTAGCCTGGTGCCACTAGCCTCACCTCCAACCCCCATCCCTGTTTGCTCTCTGTGCCTGGTGGGTTTTTGTTTTGCTGCTGTTCCACGGGCCAGGAGCAATGACACACCTGGGCACTTGTGAGAAACGCAGAATCTCTGGCCCCACCCAGACTGGCTAAATAAGCACCTGCATTTTAGCCAGCTGTCCGGCGATTCCGGCGATTCACGTGCACATGAAGAGTTTGAGAAGCACGGGTCTGGAGGACCATCCTCCATCTGGGCTGCTTCTCACCACACCTGTTTCTCTTTCTCTCCTGCCCTCTCCGCAAGTGTCTGGGGCTTTGCCTCCAGCAACTTGGGAGGAAGCGTCAGGGAAATGTCTATGTTGCTCTTTCTGTCTTAGCTTCCGAGAGTTGGCAGCGGAAAAGGCACCGCCTGGCAGGGCTTGGTGAGCCCTGCAGCTGGGTGGGGGCAGTGACTCTGTGGCCCACAGGCCTGGGGACCCCAGCAGTTCCTCCTGCTGCAGCTCTCTCCCTGGCAGTGGCTGGATGGCTGTCTGGGGCAGTGCTGGGCGCCTGGTCCCTCCTCCCATGCGCCAGCATCAGGGAGAGGCAAGAGGAAGGCGTGAGACGACTCTGACCTTGATGTTTAGTCTGATCCTTCTCACTCTGAAAGTGCTTCAACATGTTGGCCTGGTACGTTCTGAGCGCTGCGGAGTTTTGGCAGAGTGGCCAATAAGTATTTTTAGTTCCTTCCTCCTTAATGTTTGCCAGAAAACCGCAGTCATTACTTATGAGCAGGGCAAGCTTCCTCCCTCCCAGTCTCCAGAAGAGGCTGGGTTTGCCCTCAGATGCCCACTGAGGGACCCCTGCCCTGGGCTTCTAAGCCGTCTCTGAAATCAGCATAATGCTAACACCTACAACAAGGCACAACTTCATGTTACTTTTTAATAAAATAAGCCCTCAGTTTTTTTAAAAATTAATTTTTAAAAATTTTAGTAAAGTATATACACATAAAATTTACCATTTTAACCATTTTTAAGTGCACAGTTTGATGGCATTAAGTACATTCACATTGTTGTGCGCCATCACCACCATCCATCTCCAGAACTTTTTCATCTTCCCCAAATGAAATTCTGTCCCATTAACCACTAACTCCCCATTCCACTCTCTACCCCCAGCCGCTGGCACCTCCGTTCTGCTTTCTGTCTCTGAATCTGACTCCTCTAAGTACCTCACAGGAGTGGAATCACACAGGATTTGTCCTTTTGTAACTGGAGCATTTCGCTTAGCATCATGTCTTCAAGCTTCATCCATGTTGCAGCGTCCTCACCTTTTAAAAAAAATCACTCATCTAATTGATCAAAGTAATGCTGAATTAAAGCACAACTACATTTTTTGTTTTAGGCAAGTGGTTTCTGATTAGTCCTAGCACATCTGTTAAGGCAGCACAACATCTGCTTTCACAAAAGGGCTAGCCGACTAGGAGGGTGTGGAATACCGACCACCCTCGCTCCTTTGTGGGGACGGTCTGGGGAAAGCTGGATGGCACCATCAGCCCGGGAGAGGGAAGTCTACAGACATCTTTCCATAAATGCCAGGACGCCAATTACCTCTGCCAAGGGGAAAGTGCCTGCATCCTCAGCATCTTCAATTCTGGTTCCCCGCGTGGATCTTATTTTTAATGGCAGTACCTTCCAGACCACAAGGGACGAGGCTCCCTCAGAAAAATCTCGCCATTGGTGGAGGGATAATGGCCCTAAGGATCTAGTTCAGTAAACACAGGATTCTTTTGTGATGCACTTTCCAAATGAAGCACACACTTTGGGATTAATTAAACTCTTTTCTAGCTGCCTGACAGTGTAACCTTTCCTTTATGCTTCTTAGGGGGGCACACGATGTAAAAAGTCAAATCTATTATGTTCATGACTTGGAGGGAAAGATCTGGGACAAAATTACCTTACACACTGTTTTGTTTATTTTTAATTTTCTGAGTACTGGATCGAACGGAGAGCTCTCAGAGCTGTGTGTTAGCTAAACAGCAGATTCAACTCAGAAGAAGAGTGATTTGGAATTAAAGCCATAGAGACCACTGATGACAGCATGAACTCCCAATTTCTCGGCACACCTGGGGGACACGTTGAGGAGGTATGTGAAAGTTGAGTAATAAAAAATGTAGTTGTGCTGACTGTTGAAGCTGTAGCCGTTTTCTTGTTCCAATCTTCCTGCAGTTTTGAGTGCATGACATTTAATTAATTTTACAGTTAATTCTTTTCACTGCTCCTTTTTTGACAGTGTCACTCTCTGATCTCTCAGCTGGTTGAGAAAAATCTGTACCAGTTGTTACCCTTGCTGGAGCCAGACAGGGTCATCTGACCACAGCAGGAGGCAGCGAGGAGCAGCAGGCGTGGAGCCGAGACAAGATTTCAGCGGGAGGACAGTTTCCTGGAAGAAGCTTGGTCCAGAAGCTCCATCTCAGGGTCCCATGAGCACCTTTCAGAGCTTCCCTCTCCCTAGCATCCATCTCCAGGAGCTTTGAAAAAATGCTTGCATTTTTAAGAATTTTTTAAAAACTTTATGTCAAAGCAACACACACACACAGGAACAAATATAAAAGTAGAAGAGAGATGATGTTGAAAAGCAGCCTTCTCACTCCAGCCCTTTCCCAAAAGGGACTTTAGCTGGCCCTTGCTTTAATTCTTCTGGAATTTCCTGTGCTGCTCTATGATTATACCTCTACTGTTTCATTTATCAATTTTGGGCAATATCTTTTGACTCCTAAGTAGGAAGATAAGGATTTAGCTCACCTACCCACTCTTTCCTCTTTGCCCTCCTCTCTCTTTTAATTTTGTAACTGCTTTATTGAGCTGGAATTCACATACCATAAAGTTCACCCTGTTAAAATGTCCAATTCACTGGTTTTTTAGTACATTCACAAAGTTGTGCAACCAAATCCAGTGTGCACAATTCTCTAAATCCAGAACATTTTCGTGCCCCCCTCAAAAGAAACCCCGTATCCCATAGCACTCTGCCCTCATTCTTCCCTCCTCCCAACCTCTGGCAATTACTAATTTCTCCACATCTTCATCAACACTTGTTATTTGTCTGTCTTTTTTCTTATAGTCAGCCTAGGGGATGTGAAGTGGTTTCTGATTGTAGTTTTGACTTATGTTGGCCTAATAACTAATGACTTTGAGCACCTTTCATGAGCTTATTGGTCATTTACAGATATTCTTTGGAGACAAGTCTATATAAGTCATTTGTGTTTTTAAATTGGACTGCTTGTTTATTGTTGAGGTGTAAGAATTCTCTATATATTTTGGATACTAGATACTTACGGTATATGTAATTTGCGAATATTTTCTTCCACTCTGTGGGTTGTCTTTTCATTTTCTTGATGGTGTCCTTTGAATCACAAAAGTTTTAAATGTTGACAAAGTCCAATTAATCTATTTTTTCTTTTGTCACTATGCTTTTGGTATTATATCTAAGAACCCATTGCTTAATCCAAGATCACAAAGATTTACTCCCATGTTTTCTTCTAGGATTTTCTAGCCTTAGCTCTTACATTTAGGTCTCTGATAGGGATTATGTTGAAAGTGTGTACCAATCTGAGGCGTCGCCATCTTAGCAGTATTAAATCTTCCAGTCCATTTAACATTTCTTTGTCTTCTTTAATTTCTTTCAATGATATTTTGTAGTCTTCAGTTTTTGATGCTGTTGTAAATGGAAATGTTTTCCCAATTTTATTTTCAAATTGTTCATTGCTAGTATATAGACATACAACTGATTTTTGTATATTGATTTTGTATCCCCCCTGCAGCCTTGTTGAACTCGTTTATTAGTTCTAATGTGTGTGTGTGCGTGGATTCCTTAGGATTTTCTATATAGAAGATCACGCTATTTGTGAAGAGAGATAGTTTGACTTCTTTTCCAATCTAGATGCCTTTTTTTTTTTTGCCTTACCTAATTGCCCTGGATAGAACTTCCAGCACAATATTGAGTAGAATTGGTGAGAATGGCTATCCTTGTCTTACTCCTGATCTTAGGGGGGAATAGTCAGTCTTTTACCATTAAGTATGATGTTAACTGTGGGCTTTTTATAGATGATCTTTATCAGGTTGAGGAAATTTCCTTTGATTCCAGGCGTGTGGAGTGGTATTAATGTGAAAGAGTGTTGGATTTTGTCAAGTGCTTTTTCTGTGTCGATTGAGATGATTGTGTAGTTTTTGTCCTTTATTCTATTAGTATGGTGTATTACATTGATTGATTTTCATATGTTAAATCAACATTGCGTTCCTGGGATAAATTCCACTTGGTCATATAATCTTTTTTATATGTTACTGGATTTGATTTGCTAGTATTCAAAAGAGCTCTTGTATCTATATTCAAAAGAGATATTGGCGTGTGAGTTTTTGTGTGTGATGTCTGTCTGGTTTTGGTATCAGGGAATACTGGTCTTATAGAATGAGTTGGGAAGTGTTCCCTCCTACTTTATTTTTTGGAAGAGTTTGTGAAGGATTGGTGTAACTTCTTTAAACATTTGGTAGAATTCACCAGTGAAGCCATCTGGGCCTAGGCTTTTTTTTTTGGTGGGAAGTTTTTTGATTACTAATTCAATCTCGTGTCATAGATCTCTTCATATTTTATATTTCTTCTTGAGTTTTCCCTCTTCTCTTAATGTTTGATATTTACATTATTATTTTAAATCCTTCTATTAGCCACTTTCCTAACTTTAAATCCTGGGCTTATCTCTTGATTTCTTGTACACCAACTATCTGTAATTTCATTTCATCCTCCACTTTGTCTGATAAAGACAGTTACACCCCATCCTTTCCTCCCTCCTTTATTATAATATCTATTAGCTACACTTTCACAACATCAAGGTTGGTAACATTTGCATTCTGTCCTGACAACGCGACCGAGTGTTGGATGCTATGTCTGCAGTTTGAATTGAAAAGTTAAAAACCAGTGAATGGCTTTGCATTAAAATGACATCCTCAGGAGTGTTCAATGCCTGGCACGAGAGTGAACTCTGTGTCACTTTTCTAAGTATAAAAAAAGTTATTATTATTATATTCCATTAATTGTTTAAAATCATGATACATTTTGTTTGCTTCATTTTTGGACCATTATTTTGTGTACACTTTTTGTTGTTTTTCCTAGAGGGTCTAATTGTCTTTCTTTTCTTTTTTGGCATGACTTGCCTTCATCCTATTCTCAATTCTTTTTCAAGCTCTCAGTATCTGTCTATCTTCACCAGACGTCTTCCTCCTCGAGCTGTCTGCTTTCCTGCTCCAAACTGGATGGCTGCTTGCTAGATCCCTAGCAGCTTTGGAAAGCAGTTCTGCTTGCTCCATTACTAGCCACTTGGCCCTCACTCTCTTCTCGGCCAGGTCAACTCAGCTCCTCTGAGCTCTGGCTCTTCCCTCCTCCCTAGTTAGTCTCTTTCTGAATTATTTCTTTTTCTAATTTTTCTTCCTGTCATCGTGAAGTTTTGCTTTACCTCAGTTTTCCTGTCTCTAAAAGGAAAAGTCTAGATCTTCCTAGAATATAATTGCAGCAGAATTTACAAGAAGGCAATGAGCTCATACTGAAAATCTGCCTCAAAATGCTCAGGAGAAAGCGGTGTGACACAAAATCAAGGAATTGATTTCATTGTTAATTTCTTGTGACTTTTCCCTGGTTTTGACTAATTATCCATCCTGCAGGCTAGATTAATTTTTGAATTTAATATCATTATATAGCGTTCAATCAGAAAAAGGGATAATCAAGGTTAAAATTGTTATACAATTAAGTCATAGGTTTCCTTTCCTCCTAGAATGGAAATGTTAAGAATTTACTTCTTTAACACTAAAATTAATCCGAATATTGATAAGTCTATCACCAAGTTTTTGAGGGAGATAATTTAATGCATAATCCATGCTGAGCACTTATTAAACATGAGACTGCTCATGACTGCGTAAACATTAGACTGAGTAAGACTGACTTTAGTGGGCAGAATTTGTATTTGAATCAGTGCTTCATTGGAAATTTTTTGGATAAATTCAACACACTTTTTAAAAGAGAAAAATAAATTGGATGAGCAAATATTCTTTCTAAGAAAAGGGAAAGCCATTTTATTATGAGCAGTAAATCAAGAAATCAAGCTTTCAGACCTACGGACTTTAGGGGCAGGCTGAGTGGACCCCCAGATTCTGACAGATCTTGTGGCATTTCGCTGCCTATTATGAAGCAAATAGTGGTGATTCAAGTTTTAAAATTTGTATGAAAACTTCAGGCCGGAAATAATGGTGAGGGTAAATTGAAGGACATCAAAATCATACAAAAATTAAGACATTGGGCATCAGACGTGACTTTTAAGAAGATTTTATGATTTTTACCTTCATCAACACAAACCTTTGGACAAATGTTAGATCAGATGTGCAAGTAACTACAAGAAAAACTGCCAGCTCATAAAAGGTTTTCTTGCCTACCATTCCTTCACGTGGTAAATAAGGAAGAAACCCCTACCTTTTGCCACCTTCCCAGGTGAAATAGTTAATATTTCTAGGCAAGTCGGCTAGTAGCTATTTGTGAAGCAGAGTAAAATAGACGCCATCCCAAAGATAATGCATATCACTTAGAACTTGAAACTGACACATCATAGGTTTCCCCCCTTAATTTATGGCGCAATAAAAGCAGCAATAAATGTAGGTGCACTCCACCCTTGCAGAGAGTTGCCATTTTTACGATTTTGATAAGTTCACACTCCTGGTTTTACCCTCACACTGTCCCGGGCTCAAGTATTTAATATTTAACAATCTGTATTCTATAAATAATAGATGTGCCTGTCTTCACAACTGAAGATCAGCAGCAGATTTTATTGTTGACAAGAGTGATAATGTTCTCTCACCTTCTTAACTTTTTATGTTACTGTTAATTTTCCCTTTGTGGCTGAGAGTCGAGGGAGGGGTTTGGGTCATTCTGGAGAGAAATGGGCTGTAATAATCCAGTTGGAACCGAGCACTAGAAGAAGCTTGGATACCTCTATGGCCATTTCAGCAGTCTGAGGTCACAGACTCATGCAAATGCTGGAGCTGGAAAGCACCCCAGCAATAATCCATCGCCTTCCCATTACAGGGAGGCAAGTGAGAGTCTTCATCCAGCAAATCCTGGGCTCATGCCTACTAAGTGCAAAGAAGACCCGGTGGGAGAGTCATTGGTGAAGGGATTTCACCAAGGTCATATGGCTAATATTGGCAGAGTGGATGACATTCAGCTCAATTCAATAAATGGTTGGAAACCATTGAGAAACAGAGTCCTGGCTCCCAAAAAGTTTAGATCATATGATTTCCCCTGCTGAAAATCCTACAAATGGGCTTCTATTACATTTCAAATAAAATCAACTCATCATCAGGGCCAACAAGTCCCGTTGAGTTCTGGCTCCTTCCTTTTCCATCTAGTGGTCATATCAGTTCCTCAGACCAAGCTTATTCCATCCTCAGGGCCATTGGACAGGCTGTTCCCTGTACCTGATATGCATTTCCTGCAGATAGCCCCACAGCTCCAGCTAAAACAGCACTCACCCACCATCCCATGACCCCAGCAAGGCATTCTCTACCCCATTATCCTGCTTTGTTGACCTTGGAGCACTCATCCCATAGGACACCATCCTAATTATTTGTTTTCTCTCTGGTTGTCTTGTCTTCTCCACTCTGCAAGGGCAGGATCTTGTCCCTGTCCTTTCCCACCATATCCCCAAGGCCAAGAACAGTGCCTGAAACAAAATTTTAGTGGGGTCAATGAATGAATAAAGAGGGAGGCAACTGATCTGAAAGAAATCACAAGTGCTATGGGCTGGTTATGCCCATCCGGCCTTCAAGGCCCATCTTGGTCAGCCCTTTCCTGTGAAGCTGCCCCAATGTCCTC